CAGCCAATATGAAGTTTCCGATTCCTAGATCATAAGGAGTATTGCTTTCAAATAACCTTCTTTGCATGATCTCAAGGGGCACCGATATTTTTCACTTGATTGTCTAAAAACTATCATAACTTCATAAAAACTTTCATATTTGTGTCTAAAAACAAATAAGCAAACATAAGATATGCTCCGAATCTCTAGTACTTCGGGTTCTGCGCGAATTTTTGCTAGTTGTCTCGCCTGTTCTGTGTGTCGCCTACTACCATTCAAGCCTTCCTTCTGTGGGTAATGTAAGGGGAAGGATGTGAGATCGAAATAGCCATGCAAAATACCACATGGGTTCTCAGATTCAAGTCGGCCTTCTCACAAACATTCTAAACTTCAGTCAACCTTTGTTCCATCTTTACGACCTTCCATGTTATTAGCACAATGTCCTATGCAAAGCGGAGATGGCATTGTTATTGGCTCCAATCGAACCTCACTTTTCCTTCCAAAAAAATTCGGAAGAAATTTTGATCGTGCTCTTAAATTCTTATTTACTTTGATTACGTTGATGGTGTTGTCTTCTTAGAAGACCTCGGTCGGTTTGAATTGTTAGGACTGCCGCGTGCATAACACTTCCGCAGGGTGACCCATGTACTTGTAGGATTTCGGAAGGTAGAATAAAATAATGGCCTATTCGGTATGCCTCAGATGGCAAGTAGGTACACAGTAGTGGCTATCGAAAAGATAAGAGAATAAGTCATAAATGACCTCCTCCATTGTTATTCTGGACGCAGTGACTGCTCCGGCGAGGACGTTGAGAGCAAGTTATCTCGGTTTGTGACAAGCAGAGCCCGGGTTTCCTTAAATGCTCCTCTCATTTTTGGTGGCTTCAACCAGAACTATTGTTTTTCTCTATTCCATAAACTCCTTTATTGCTTCTCTCTATTTGTTCATATACCCTTTCGCTCGTTGCTGGTCGCCTGCAGCTCGCGCGTCTCAACGTCAGCGTATGAGGTAGAGAATTTCAGAAGAAATGCTTCCCCTGGTGATATGTGAACTCATTGCTTCCCCTGCATTGCTCGACGAGTGGGTTAAATTTCTCATCCTGTTAGGTCTATATGCTTCGTTAAGGCTTCAGCACGATTAAAGCTTAGTTTCGTGGAAAAAATGAAAGACCCTACTTCTAAATCCAATCTGTTACTTTGCAAAAGAGCATTTTGTAACGAAAGCAATAGTTGGCGGAACGAGAAAACAGGCATTTTCGGCTTTCTCTAGCGCGTATAGTGCGTAGCATGAATGCAAACACCTGTTCTACGTCTACTTTTCTCGGTGTCTGCTCCACGCTTGTGAAGTATTTTCCACTCTGTTCTCGTTCCGTAGTTAGTTTTGTTTTCTTCGTTTGTAATTTGACTGTTCATTGTCTTCTCCAACTCAATCGTCACAGAAACAAAGTTCCTAGCACTCAAATACATATATATAGGGCCAATAGATTGACTTTAACCATAGGAAATTAATCTCTTTTGTTAAGAGTCAATGTTGAAAGTGTTCATTTTCAGGGAATTTTCATCCCTAATTGATGTTTTCATCAGTATAAAAAGCTGGAGAGAATCTTTCAAGCTTTGTGGGTCCCACTGGTGAGTCCATTTTCTGGGTCACCTTAACCCTTTCCCCAACCCTCATATCCACTCAAACCTATTCACTTCAAGGTTTTGGGGTAGAAGCGAAAGAAGTTATAATATTTGTTCAAATCAGACACACATTCCATCGCTATCGATCAGCCTCGCCGCATTGATTTTCCAGTTATCCACCTTAATTACTAATACTTAGAACGTTCTCCCATTGAATGGAGGAGAGTCATTGGATTCTGGGTCAAATTTCGTAAAATACGTTCCGTACTGGTGCGATACATCTGTAAGCTAATCCTCAACTCGCTGAACTGAATCAAAGGAGCATCAAATTCACGCTCTTCCCGCTGTTTGCCTTCTTTTTTTTCCTCCTGGCTCCGGACAAGCAAATAGCACAGTCCTCCCACTCAACCAGTAAGAGCGAGCTCATTCTGTTCGATCATCTCTTTTAAACATCCAGTCAACTTTCCCCTTTTCATTTTTATCACTATTTTTATCACTGACGTTATGAGCTACTAATTCAACAATTTTAAGGTGTCAGATTTTTATGTCGAATATTTTTTTTTCACGATTTTAATGCCGCGGTGAGTCTGGGTACCAGAAACGGTCAGAATATGATATCCATTCTACTCGTAATGGAATATCTCACCTTTTCTTACCCACTATAGGGGACCCCTCGTTCAAGAATGGTGATTCATCGGATTTTTACTCTCCCTCAACTCTCCCTTCAGTTTCAACTAACTTATTGAACTTATTGAAACATCTCAATCTACAGTGCTCGAAAAGTCATGCTCATGAGGTTTCTAGCGAACACGGCCGTAAAGACATGATTTTTTGCGGTTGAATTGGTTTCAATACCCCGATATTTCCGTGCATTCAGGAAATGTACCTCTTCCTGTATTATTTGTTGTCCCAACGATGAACACGAACGAAGCAATCGGTAGTAGCATACAGACGATTGGAATTGAAACCTAAATATAGAAGCTTTTAGTCACATTTCAAAACTCCGACTTTTCTCATAATCCCGAATAAGTGTTGTGGAAGATAGAGTGGAGAGAATTCGAACTCCTTGTCATGGCTTAGTCTTGGACTGGGGAATAAGAGTTGCGTGTTCCAAAGTGGATGCATGAGTAGGGCATGGATTGTGGCGCTCTGATTAAAAACAGAAATGCTATGGAATTAAAGATGGATGCGAATGGAATCACATGGAAATTGTAAAGCAGGGTTTTCTTGCCATCGATCCCAGGGATTCCAGAAGGGAGAACCATACAGCGAAACGGTGCTCGGCCATTAGTTTAAGAGCAGTATTACAGCATTCCGAGTTGACTTTACTGATGGAATTCAAGCGTCAAGCACTGATGTGCAAAACTCGAAGAACTCGCGGAATGTGCTGTTTGCTTCTTTACTTATTGGATCGTTCGTAAAGTAATGGGGAACTTTTTTGATGATTGATAAAAAAAAGTCTTACAGAAAACGAATCTCAGAGTCGATTATTTTTGCCATTCTTCTGGTTATGTCATAGTTCTTCTCTCACAAACCTTCTGGTTTTTTTCAGTGAAAAACTGGACTACTGCTTGGGATTAAGATTTGTTATCCGCATTTTCATCAAAGTTTCTCTAACTTGAGAGGTTCTGAAACGATCGAAATAAGTGCTAATTAAGATGCCGCTCGATCAGGACTATATGGTGGATGCCGCACTAGTTCTTATGCAGGTTTCATAGTTTTGCCTAGTCATCAAAAATGTTTCTTGATAACGCTTCAAATCACAGCTTGGCCCTGTAATTCCATGTGGGCAGTTGGAGTGCATTGAAGGGGTAAGGTCTAGTGCGCATAGAAGTGATAATCGCCTTTAAATTGTGATAGTAAGCATAACCTCTTACATTTTTGACAAATAGGGCGGAGGTGGTGTAGTGAAAAGTGGCACACTATCGCACACGAACGGTCACGGGTTCAAATCTCGGATCAATGGCTGCCTGAGCCAACCAAGCCTTCTATCCTCCCAGGATCAGTTAATCGGTACCAGACCCGTCTGGGAGGATGAAAGCACTGACTTGTACCTCGACCGGCCACCGCAAGTCATTGTATCGGTCACATACGCATTCAATACGCCATTACAATTCTGAATGAAAGACGATTGTGGGGGCGCATCTCTTAGAAGGGATTGATTATAGCAAAGACTCTAAAACAAGTAGGGCTCAGGTCTCAACAACACTTAACCAAATGCAATCGCTATCGGTATTCTAATCATACCTTTAAGTAATTTTTTGGGGTTGACATTTCTTTCTTGGGATTTCAAGGACTTTACAAATCGGAACTCAGCAATAACATGGCCAAATAAAAATTTCATCACTAACCTGAATGAAAAGAGAGCGGAGGAATCGTTTCTGCATCTGTTTTGTCTTTTGAGACATACTGCTGTTGTCACGTAGAAATTTGTGTGATGCAATTACACTACCTACAGCGATTATCAGTGCAACACAGCACACAAAAATAATTGTTAGGACGATACGACGCAACTTGAATGGGATAAAAATCTGAAGATTTGGCACAGAAAAGGCCGACCTTGCGCATGAGTACTCCTGAAAAAGACATTTTAGGATTCATCAAGAACTTTATCATATTTGATCTCTTTGTTAATTAGGAAATGCTGACGATATTGCCGCACCCACTAGAATGACCCAGAGATTGAACCCTGAATCGATTCCCGCTTGGATTAGCAGTGCCATTCGGGAGATGGTGCACTAGCATCGAGTCAGCGTGCAAGACTGGATCGTCACCACACCCTTAGATTAGCTTCAACAGTTTTGACTCAATGTTTTCTAAACTGCTGTCATTTTGGTGCGCGTTCCGAAAATCTCACAAGGATGGCGATTTATTCACTAAACTTCGGACGGAACTCGAACACGTTCTTGTGCTTTCCGGGNTCGTGCTCTTATCCCTTACACTACAGAGACCCCGCTTGCCTTCGCCATCTTAATAGCTTATACGCCATAGCTTAACAGCACTCAAACAAAAATCGCAAACTGACAACCTCGGTGAGTTTCAACAGTCTTATGAACCGAATGCTTTCTAGTCAAAAAAGAATCGCAGTAAGTGACATACACAAAAATGCTGCTACCAAAGAACCAGATGGTGCTTTATACTTTACGGACAAGCTGGTGAATAACAGTCCACTTTGAGTACTAGGGAGTTGAGATATTGCTTCGCATTGACGTGGTCCATTTGTTGGTTCCAACTGACAATTAGTCGTTTCTGCCATTCCTCATTCAATACAATGTTGGTTGTTGACTTGAGTAAGGTAGCGAAAATTCTGTCTTCAGAATACGTTTTCCTACAGAACTTACCGACTAGGCTTTAGAATGTTCTAATCACCCTGACCTGTACAGGTGCAGCACAGTAGTACAATTTGCTAGGTAAGTCTCATTAAAAACCACCTTTTCTGCCCACATCCTCGCCTCTGATTGATCAGGTAACATATCAGTTGAATTGACTAGAATAGGAGTAAAATATATAAGGAAAATTGCAGCACTTTTATAGATATGACCTAAATATGGTGAATATTAGCAAGTGGCATTGATAAGGTCTTTTGACCGCAGTCAATTCCATCTGGAATGTGCGCCCTGCATTTGACTTCCATTCATACATGGCTTGCGGTGGCCAGCAGGTGTACAAGTCAGTGTTTTTAGGCTCATAGACGAGTTTGGTACCAATTAACCGATCCTGAAGGGGCAAAAGGCTTGGTTGGCCTAGGCGGATATCGACCTGAGATTCAAACCCGTAACCATGTCTGGATAGTGCGCCACTTGCCACTACGCCACCTCACCCCTCATCGTCCTCCCCCCACCACCGCCGTGAAGGATATTTTCAAAATTTGAAGATCATTGAAGCCCAATCTCTCCCATTCCATTCAAGGTGAGCAACTTGACAGAGCCGAGCAGCAACGAGTTCTTCGTTTTTCAATGAACTGAGTGGAGTGAGAGAATTGTGCAGGCCAACTCTCCGAGAGAAAACTTCCCACTAATCTGCAAATACGGAGTGACAAGGAAGATGTTTGATCAAGTTTCGCCTCGACGACATGTGCAATCCATGCCGTACCTTTTTTGTAGATCTATTCAAACTGTTCTCCTTACCACGATGGCTGATTTTTGAAAAATGGCGAGCCGGAGTGATGACGTGACAACGATACATGAATAGGCTCACAATGGTGGCTCCAAAAAGTGAGCCTATATAAATAACCAAGAGGACAGACATATGGGTAGTAATAGGTATCCATGGTATGGTCCAGGAAGCGGGGTAACCCATCGGTATAGGGAAGAATATTATTGGCAGTGTGAATACTAAGTACACGGAATCAAATACGGTAGATATTATCTGGTAGATTAGCAAATACCATTTATAGGCAGCCATTTGTTGAGGCGATTTAGTAAGAATGCAGTAAAAGCTGAGTAAATTCAGAGGAACGGCTACAACAGATAAGGAGTGCATAAATACTAGGTAGAACCCGGTGCTGAGATCGAAATCTTCACATTCAATCATTGAAGTGAGTTAAGGAAGCCTTTCGAGGTGTAGTCGGAGCATATCTCTTCAAAGCGGTGCTTATCTGATTGGTTCACCTATGCTCTCCTGTGATGCACCTGTCACTCCGAGTACGCATACTTTGACATCACGTGAGCGTGAGTATTGGAACAGAGATCTTCTAACTTTTAATCGGTTACTGAACAAAAGCGTGAAGGAGGACAGGAAGTGGATGGCCGCAGCAATGATTGGCGAACCCTTTTTCGGTTTGGAAAGGCGAGGCGCGAATCTCCACCACCATCTTCCCGTAGACACTTCGGTAAAGTGGCAGATCCACGGCATGAGGCCAGCCAGGGAAGAAGCACTCGTCAAGGGCGCATCACATTTGTAGAGTAGAGTAAGTGGTTACTGATTCAGTCTTTTTGGTGGGTCGTTTGCAATTTGAATGTTGCGTTTACTTTACGCTCTAATCTAACTCTGTGAATTTGTAAACTGCAAGAGCTGTTCATTAATGGAACAATGAACAGCGTTGAGTGGATGCTCATTTCGCCTGCGCCGAGAGTTCTTTGAGATGCACTTTCGAAATGAGTGATCGCGGAAAAATAAAAAGTCCGCATGAACGTGGCGTTTTCTTTGTTCCCTGCTACTCTTCCTGTATTGCGGCCGCTTTCTTCCGCCTGTACAACTTTGGTGGGAAGTCATTTCGACGCCATGACTTACGCTATTTATATGCACATGATGAAATATATTGTTAAGAGGTTGTAAGTTTATAATAGTCACTCTGTGCTGTACGGTAGCAGATCGAATTTTGGCAGAATCAGGATGTCCCAGTTTCAAGTCGGAACCGGACACATCCTCGCTCTCAAAAGTTGTTATTTCCCTCACAAAATGTTTCAAGCTTGTCCAACTCGTAGTTTTGCTACTTTTTGTGCTTACATGTGGGATCTTTGAGTCAGAAGCCAGTAGAATTTTCTCAATCCAAGCTCGAGTCTGTTTTCATTCCCCGTTTTTTATTTTCATTTCTTCGTTTCATTTCATCATTCATTTCATTTTTCATTTTCCATTCCTAATTTTCACTTTAGCTACAAAATCATAAAATGCTTAGGCTACAGTACCTGTTCGTCCTGTGCTGCACTAACATTTTGTATATATGCGATTCTAGATTTTTTAATAAGGGAAAAGTTGCAGCACAGAAATAAATTAGAATTCATTGGACTACTGGGCTTTAATAGAAGCATAGAAGTTAATTTATTTGGTCGGTTCGTTGGCTTCATGCAGGTGGCCATGCAGTCCACAACCACTTTATTAGCAGACTGCTAGCTTCACCATTTTGACATCCATGGCTGCCGCTGCCGTTTACGTGGTTGCAAAGCTCGTAAGGATGGCGATATTGATGGTACAAGCCCTCGCACATGAGCCCCACCTGATAATTTATTTCTCTTTGTGAGTTCTCATGAATATCAAGGGAGTAATGAAGAAGACAAAGAACATCCGGCTCTGCGCTCACCTTTTCGACACTGCTGTCCTTCCTGCTTTGACGTACGCCTCGGAGACCTGGACTCTACGAAAGCAGGATGAGCATGCTGTTAGCCTTATTCAACGCGCTTTGGAAAGGACGATGCTCGGAATTTCCCTATACACGCAAGTGCAGAAGGGAATCCGGAGTTCCGAGCCCCGTCACCGAACGAAGATCAGGGATGCCGTTGATTACGCCAAGAAATCGAAGATCAGGTGGGCCGGACACGTTATGCGATCCAGTGATGACCGTTGGACCAGGACGGTTAGTGACTGGATCCCTCGGGACATCAAACGAACTCCAGGAAGGCCGCCAACGAGATGGTCAGACTTCTTCACGAAAGCTCTGAACGAAAGGAATGTTGAACCTCGTGTCCCTGAAGCGAGAACGATTCACTGGACCACTCTGGCTCGTGACAGGGACGAATGGAGACGTTACTGGCGCCCGCTCGAGGAAGTCGATGATCAACGGGACGACAGGTGATACAGGTGATACAGGTGAGTTCTCATGTCCTGCAGATAAGTTTTCTGTGACCTAGCGAGATCCTAAGGCGGCAGGCGCCGCTCGTCTTGAATAATGCAGAAGATCGTGTAAAGGTTGCGCCCTAAATTCTTGCTGTTAGACATGAATGCTATTTAGTAATGACGTCGTGGAATGTAAGGTCTGATAGCATCCTGCGACCAAACATTTTATTTTACGGCGACTGCTTGTGCAAGTGCGAGCGGCCTTGCAAACATGGGCGGAGGGAATTTTCGTTCGTTACTTAGCCGTGAATCATTGACATCCTACCTCTCTGGTTGCTTCTATCATGATGCAAATCGCAATTTCCCTTTCGAGCTGCAAAGTCTGCTATCTGAATTGTTTGAAAGAGTTATCATTTCCTCTCGCATGTACTTCGAAAAATCCCAATGTTTTAACAGATGGCACTTTTATCGGAAGTTTCCAGAAAATTTGTCGTGTATATATGGTTTGCTCAAACGTGTTA